TCGGTCACGACCCAAGAAAGTAGAATCTGCTGAATATCTCCTTGAAAAGGCCATTGAAGACTTTGAATATATCAGGGATGAGCTAGGCTTTAAATGTATGCCACTTTATCCCAAAGACCCAAATGATCCAAAAAATAAAAAATTCAAGTCAAATATGATCATCAAAAAGAAATATGCCTTTCCTGCTGAGTGGCAAAAGGATGAGACACACAACAAAGAGACATTAAAGATATGGCACAAAGAAATTAAATCAACGATCAATAGAGAGAAGGCAGTTAAATATGCTGTCCTTACTGGTAAGGTCAATAATTTAACCGTCATCGATCTTGACATTGCCAAAGCTGAAGAACGAGATAATGATATTGAAAAACTAATTGATGATGTTCAAACCTTTCAAGTCTCAACGCCCAACGGCTCACATCATTACTTTCTTTATTGCCCGTATATAAAGACTTCATCAAATTTCCTCGATTATATAGACTTTCGCAATGAAGGCGGATGCGCTATTGGTGCGGGTGTGTTGCGTGATGATGGATTCTATGCAATAAAGCAAAAATATGAGTTAAAAGAAATTCCAAAAATCTTATCCCCCCCTCTTTATAAAGATTGATCGCGTTGGATGTATATATGTAACTTCGTCATGCCCTGAACTTTTTTGCAAACCTCCTATGAAGTGTTGAAATATTCAACCGACATACTTTCAAATCTACCCATCAGGTCAGTGAAATTTGAATTTCCAATACTAATGTTTAGTCAACCCCAACTTCACTTTGAATTTGTGCCGTTGTACAGTTCGAGCACTGTCCTCGCATTCCGTTCCAGTTAAGATCGAGCTGTGCGGCAGTATCGAAAGGGGTTCTTATTCTCAAATATTTTGATCTCAAGGTTCTGAAATTTTGTACCACGATTGAAACAGGTTCTGAAATATTATTGTCTGACGAAAAGAATCCTTTTCGCACAATTTTGAGCCATCTCCCCCCTCAAGCCCACCGTAATTCCCCGGCGCGCGCCGTGCCTGTGAAAATTTTTGCAATGGTCATGCTTCAGAGAAGCACGAATGAGGGTTCCATCTCTTACAAACAACATGTTTCTATGCCATGGTTGCTTTTCTGAGAATGGTTTTGATCAAGGCTAGCATATTCCAAATCAGTATTTGATGCATGGTGTAGGTTTGTCTATGAAATCGGTGTATACAAAAGTGATTTGATGTTGGTTGTTCAATTTTGCCACTTATTGCTCCTTGCGATGATGGGGCAAAATCGTTATTATTGTAGCGTCATTACTCATGCACAATTATGGAGTGTGTTGGATGTGAATGTATTTGAGTCGAGCCAGTGACTTGTCAACCTGTTCTCATGTCCACCAACAACTTGTAAATCAACAAGATGTAAATCCTCGGTGAGCTTTGATTGCTGCAAGATTTCAAAGACTCGAATACATTCCTAGCACAGTATTTCAGCTTAGAGTTTTTCTTTAGAGCAGGCTGTCTGATGCACTATGTAGAAGGGAGAAAACTTTTCGCAGTGATTAACAGCAAAGAATTCAAGCCAGATGCGTTTTCAATTAGGAGAGCAGTGCTGATGCATTGCTCTGAGGCTGTCAAATTTGTTACGGTGCAGATGAATTCCTTGTAAACTTTCAATTGCAGAAATTTTCAGATGAAGATGTTCCGTGAGTAGAGTTGAGATCATGTATGAAGTCTCGATGAAATGAATGAGTTTTGACAAAATCAGGCTTTTCGAACATGTGTTCAGTTTTCCAGGGCCTCAGTATTGGCAAGGCTTTGACATGATGCCAAACATTCATATGTCTTTAGGGACACACATGTGCGGCATATGCGTGCATGTACTAAAAGACTTGCATGTTTCTGTTGTAAGTCGATCTACAGAGAAACCTTGCCACCGCGCATGCTAGTTCGAATCTTTTATTGAAAATAGACATGTTCATTACTGGACTGCATCTACACGATCAATAAGCCCATCCTTCCTTGTGCATTTGAACTCCGATGTTCAAGTATGTGATCATTGCCACGTGGGTGACACCGCACAAAATACAAGAAATTTTCTTGCTTCTTGGAT